GATACTTAACACAGTAAGTAATGTATGCTTTGTTTTTTTCCCCAACACCATTATTAAGTTTCAAAAAAAGATACCCCACCATTTAACAAATCTGAAATCACTTTTTGTTTCAATAATAAACAGAAACTAAACTCACCAGTTTTCCTTACAGAGACTTTATTGCTGCTTTCAGTGTAGAAAACTGGATCTCCTCTTCTTCCTCTGCAGCTGTATATTCCTCCCTCTGAGATGCTGATGAATCTATAAGGTTCATTGATTCTGATGGACTGAGCTGCATGATACCATGACTCCTGTCTGAACCAGTAAAACTTCCATCCAGCAGAGCTGGGCACAGAGCAGGTCAGTGTTATACTGCCCCCTGCTGGTATGATTGTTTCCTCTGCTATTAGTTTGGCTCTTGGTTTTTCTGCTATTGAAGGAAAAACAAAAACAAGTAAAAATATCCAGAATATCGTTTAATGAAGTGTTTTAACTCGATAAATCTCGCATTCAGCTAGTAGAATAAATCAGATGTTTGATCCCCTGAGAATTTAAAACCACATTTTAAATAAACGTTGGATCAACTTTTTACTTACCATATCTATATAGGTATTTATACATTTTTTATTTATTTTTTTATTTTCCAGGTATAGCCAATATTAACTTTACAATGTTTATGTCTTCGTGGTGTTCTTGAAAGTATTCTATTTTTCAATTAAAAAAATATGATTTAATCTATGATGATCTAAAACAAAAGAGTAAAGTTAGAACATTTCCTAAACTGTTCTGTACTGGTCAACATAATCTGGCTCACCTGTAGCAACGTTGTGATCATATTAGACACTAACAAAGCTGATAACATCCTTAATGCTATGAAATATTTACTTTAAACTTTAAGCATAAACTTGAAAAAAAAAAAAAAATAAAAAATAAAATATTCCGAAAAACAACAGCTCAAAGTTGAATGTTTTAATAGAAAAGATGGTTAGATAAAACTAATTGAAACATTTCAAACAATCACCTATTTTCTAAAATAGAGGGATAACTCACAAACAGTTAATGAAAAAGAATCACTCCATTGAGTTAACTCATAGTTTCTTCTTCCTCTGCAGCTGTAGGAGTCACTGTCTGCTGTTATGGTCCTGGATTCACTGAATGTTTCAGAGTATCTGCTGGTTGGTCTCCATTCATACGTCCACTCAGTTCCTCCACCTCCATGGATCTCACATCTCAGAGTGACTCTCTCTCCTCTGAATATTGGAGACCAGTTGTGTTGCAGAGTCACAGTGGGTTTAATGGAACCTGCTGACATAAAGAAATATCTGGTTAGAACAGAAACATTTAGAACAAAAAAGTCTGTTTAACTTAACAAATTAAATCAATAAATCGGTATTGACCTAATAGCATATGAGAAATTTCATATTATTACAGCAATTAAAAAAAAGAAATATTAATAACATAGTGAATTCAAAACATTAAAACTGATTTCTGAAAAAAGGCTGACATCATGTAAAATATTAGTTTGAACATAATTAGGAGACAAAATATTATGCTTCCTTTTAGTAGAAAATAGCATTTAATAATGAATCTGAAGCAAATACACCAGTAAAGAAGATTTTTACTGTCATATTTATTGTTGCTTAGACTAATAAATAATTTAACGTTGTGATGTTAAATTATATATTAATTTACAGGCTGCCATCACAGAACAGGTGAAAATATCTCATAGGTCTGTGACTGGAAAATCATTTGAAAATGCACCTTCTTGGTCCTGTCGCTGATGCTTCATGTCACTGTCCCATTTTCTCCCATGGGAGCAGCACATGCTCTCTATGTCAGGAATTAATAAAAAAATAAAAATCCAAAATATATTGCTTGTTTACATCTTTATGGGGAGCAACATTAATAATCTACAAAGTCTCAGTTGCTCATATCAAAACTCTCTCTATATACGTTCTTGAGGTTCCATGTTGCATATCATTTTTTAAGTACATAAATTAGGTAATTTTTTTACACATAGAAGCTGGAAACTTAAAAATACCATGCCCTTCTGTTTCTGTTTAATTTTAGAAATGGGACTATATTATTAAAATTTTATTATCATCATTTACTGTCTGAAAGGGATACAAAACGAAATAGTTGTCTAAGTCTAACTCTGAGTTATAAACATTTTTTTTTGCTCTGGTCAGATGTATATAGAATCCATTCTGCTCTGCCTTTAACCCAACAGCAATAGGTTCTAAGAGAGGGCCTATAGGCTTATCCCTTAAAAGTGAAAAAAAAAAAGTATAGCTTAGGAGTCAATCCCCAGTACCAGTAGGCCTACTCATTGAAAGCATTTTTTGCGAATCAACAAGTGTTTGTTGGAATACAATTGAGTCAGTGCTGGAGCTGCACACAGGATGAAATCTTTCAGCTCCATTGTTTGCGAAACAAACACATACAAACATGAATTCAAGCGTTTGCCCCTTTCTTGAAAATAAATTGATAGGGTAAAATGCAACTATTTAAAGAAGAATTCCCCTTTTGGAAATAGTAACGTATTTTTCTTTTTCATAACTTGTGGGTTTCTGTCAGTGTGGCAGAGATACGGCACACCAATGGAACTAACACTTAAATTAAGTTGTTTCTCCCACAACCAAATTCCAGCGAGTCTGCACTGATGCAGATTTAATGGGTGAACAGTCCTCTTACCCTACCCAGCCTTTCGCGGGAAAACCAAAAGCAGAGATTAGTGCATAGGGGTTGTGTTTAGGGGTCAGTTTGGAATTTGTCCAGTCTATTTGTACTGCGCTCTATAATACATGTAATTCGTTTGCTCATGGCAAAAAGTTCATCTTTAATTTGAACACACCTTGAAGATATCATTCCACCCTGTTAGCTCATAGTCTCTTCTAGCCCTGCTGCTGTTTTCTCCACTGTAGGATTCAGGAGCTCTGCTGATCCTGTATTTACTAGAAGTTTGAGAGTTTCTGCTGGTTGTTCTCCAGTTATACATCCACTGATATCCTCCACCTCCCTGAATCTCATATCTCTGAGTTACTGTCTCTTCTCTGAATATTTGGACCTGTTGGATTGCAGAGTCATGTAAACTTTGTAGGAAATTTAGCCTGGGTGCCATTCCGAACCTAGTCCCGCCCACAACGTTTGAGGTCGGGAAGTTCGGTCTGGCAT